AATGTATAAATCTGATGCGTGGAAATATTTTTTCCGAACTCGTCAGTCCAACGCGGCAGCAGCATCAAAAAGCTCGATTTAAGCGCCGCACCCTGCGCAGCTGCATAAATTCAGTTATATCGTATATATCGTATAAATGAAATAAGGGGAAACCGGGAAAGGCTCATACGCGTGTTAAACAATTTTTCTCCACGACGAATTTTACGTAAGCCAAGGAAGACCAAAGTGGCCAAAGTTAAATCCCCCGGTAATCCCGTCGCGAGAAATGCGGAAGCTGAAATGGAGAGGGGATGCGAGATTGATTTCGCAATTACGTAATCCGAAGTACTAGTGTGTGGCTTCTATCCTTCAGTCCCTCCCTCTCTGCACCCGTCAACCCCCATTGAACTAAATCAGAATAAACAAATCAATCGTACTTTCGCTGAATTGCCTTACACTGACAATTAATGCAGACATTATCACTCGGCAATAGCGGTTCTACAAAACGCCGTCTATCCAAATAACCAATCCACTTTTTTTTCGTTATGCTCGAGTGAATGGCGAAAAAAATAGAAGAGAAAAAAAGAAAGCACCCCACTTGCGCGCGACGAAGCAACCGATCTAAGCGCGACCAACGACCAGCCTCGATAATAAACATTGGTGGGTCGTCGACTATCGGTCCCTATGGATGTACAGGCGTAGGTGGATGGGTGGGTGGGTGCTTTGCGTTTTCTAAAGGACAGCAGCACGATAGCGAGCGAACAATAGAGAAGTGTCTGTCCAATATGTCCGGATGGCCTCGCACACAAATGTGAAAAGCGACTTGAAAAACAGCTCGCTGCGCAATATAAGGCTTAGGCAATCGATCATTCTTTTTTCTTTTTAAATTTTGTTGAAAAAATTTTCTCCCGCAACGCGCCCTTCTTACTTGGATTTTATTTGCGCTCTCGAACTCACCGCGACACGTCTTCAAGCGCACCCATCCAATGCCGTAGTCTAATTCGTGCAAATTATTTGCTAATCGAATGGCCATACTCATTTAAAAATATATTTCGCCTTCAATTTACATGTCTTCTGGAGCAATGTTATTTTGACAGCTAAATAATGATGAAATAATAATTTTTGCGAATAAGTATCGCTTAATAAACGACTCATTTATTGATTTTAAACTTCAGGCAAGACGAATATAAACTTACATTTCCATAAGTCAAACAACTTAGTAAATATATTATTACTTTGCTTTATATTTGTGAATTTCGCGAAAATCGGCATCTCGTTTTACATAAACGTTCTCATTTAAACTTAATACTTATTCAATCATAGCCGGTAATTTGCATTAGCTTGACTCTACTCACTATACATTACTGACTTCAAAATTACTTATTTGTAAGCAAAAATATTATTCGAATAAAGAGAGATTGGAATAAAGACCATCCTCGAAAAACTTCTCGGTAAGTTGAAAATTTTACTTTATCGCGTCGCACGATATGAAATAACCATTACTTAATGAAAGAGACTTCAAATATAAGAGAATTACAATTTCATTCTGTTATAAAATGAATTGTTAGAATAAGTTTTATATAAACAATACTGTCACTCCTCGTGAACGAATGCGTAACTGCTCCTGGTGTAATTGCGTGGTCCAGTATCTGTAAAAAAAGTGCTCAAGCGCACGGACAATGTAATAAAAGCATAATTTCGAACTTACCTCGCCGGATGAGACAGCTTCTCCGGGAATGAAGAGCTCTGGATAAATATTGTCAAGATACCATTTGAAAGACTTGCATCCAAGCTTTCTTCTTAGTGCTTTACGGTCTGACACGTCTCCGTAATTTCCCTGCAAGTCGGGTAAAGCGTAAAACGATCGTCACGTTAGATGCGACTTGTGCGAGCTGCGCACAGTGCAATCAGGTCTAAGTAAATTCATTTAAAAAGGTGGGGAAAAGTAAATGTAAGAAATACACGCGTCTAATAGTATTTTACAACGACATAAAACAATCGATTCAGTAAAAATCCTATTTATTAAAATATTTTATTACGATTCATCATAGGTTGTGTCATTGGGAACGTTAACGACTTCCATCACCGTAATAAAATATTTTAATAAATAGTATTTTACAACGACATAAAACAATTGATTCAGTAAAAATCCTATTTATTAAAATATTTTATTACGATTCATCATAGGTTGTGTCATTGGGAACGTTAACGACTTCCATCACCGATCATTGAACAAAAGTTTTATTTTTCATTTCATACACTTGGGTCTATGACTAATTTAAGGAGATTCAGCTCTAATGACGTTCCCTAATATTTTTCCATTAAAGTAAGCCAAGAATATCGACATCATATATATTTTTATTGATGGATAAAATTAATTTAAATTAGATCTCGTCTGCAATAATGGAATAATAATATCTCAAATGTTAAAATACGAAAAGTATTTTGAGGTTATGTCTTTTAGAACTTGGAATCGATAAATAATTTGAGATGCCATGTTATGTCTACGCGTATAGCTCAAAACCGCCTCTCCGAATAATTAAAATTTTTCATTTAAAAACTGCTCTTGTATACAAAATTAAGAAAAACAAAACATAAAAATAAACGGAAAAAACGACCTTTAAAATAAATAATAAACTATTTTTTTTTTTGTTGCTTTTACACGAGATATTTTCGAGATATTTTCCTGCAAACGAATTTTTTTTTCTTCATATCTATATCTCTACTTTAAATACCTTACAGAATTCAATGTAAATTAAATTTATCTTCTTTCCGTAAAATCATTGATTCGTGAGTTCAGGCGTAGAATTAGACGTATAAAATAAATAAAAATATCTCCTTTCATTGTCATCGATTGTTTACACGTTGCAGTGAAATGGTTTATCAGCACTTAATGAAGAATTTGTATGAAGAATTGTTCAATATGTATATTCAATGAAGTATATTCATGATTTTATAGCTGTTGGTGAGTTTGGAAATAGGGTCTTTGCCGATAATTGAATAGTCCGGATATTTAAAAAATTAAGTGGACGGTAAAATTTGGCTAACGAAATAAAAACTTAACCAAAAATACGTTAAAGGATAAATTAAAGTGAAAGAAAAAAATAAAATTAGTTTTACGGCTAACCTTATCGTGACCTATCCGTTGGTAGTAGTACTTGGCATACTCGTCAAGCCACACTTCGCTAAGTCTCATGCTGTTCCTCTTCAGCACGTTCACGCCGGTTCGCCATTTGTAGGGTGAGCGTTTGCGGAAGATATGCCCCACGTGAGAACACGGTATAATTTCCAATGTTCCTGCGTGCATCAAATGAAAGAGGGAATTTTTATACAGAGTCGCAAAGTAAGGAAAAATCGATTTGTAATTTATAAATTGTGAAAATCAGACGTATTAAGCCTGCAACAGTTAGGAAATGATGAGTTGAATTAACTTATCGTCTCTATATAATTTATTTAACGTTTATTCGGGACCGGATATTTGTTGAGCTCTGTGATAATATCATTTTCTCTTACATCTTTTTTAATTATCGAGATAATTTTTCACATCCGTATGAATAAATAAATACTCAGTATAATTTTTCTTTTTTATTTTCATTCCTTCTACAAATTAATATTCGATAGATTATATCGAGTATTAAATAACTGACATACGTAATTTTATGCAAAAAAGTGCTTAAAAAAAAAAAAACTTTAAATATTTAATTTCATTGCACGGATAACAATCTTAAATAGATTATAATGTTAGAAGATTTTGACAAATTTCTTAGCATTGTAAACCCTAATGAACAAATTCATTTTTAATTTTATTCTTAATTATGTATCATAAGTTTGTGCAAAATTCAAATACATAAATACGATTGCAGATAATTAAATTATATAGAGCATTTTAAGCAAGTTGTTATTAAAATGATATTATCATAAATCAATGAATTATATGAAAATTGACAATTATTTACCATTATTCGGATACATAACAATTATGCAAAAGATTCTCTTTTGTAAAATTAATTTACAAGATAAGGTCATGCATAATGGGCACGAATTGATTATAAAACAACTATCACCTATATTTTATTAATTCATTTTTAGTTTTAATTATATATTAATAATATTTTATTGTATTTATTAGGTCGATAACAAAATTAATTTACTTTATATTAAGTGCGATAAGTCTTATTCTAGATATTAATCATGTGTGAACTTGTAAATTGAATAGATCCCATATGTTAATAATACTCATTTATAAATAGAAATCTTTAGATACTCCATGTAGGTTAAATGAAAGTCTACTCAAACTATAAACACTTTATACTTATTACAACCGTTGCAATTTAATTTAATTTATTTAAGTATACTTTATATTTATATTCCCATTATGTTAATAATCAATTTTATGAATCATCCAATTATCCATCAAAGAGCAATTATAATAATTACTATGATTTCAAAAAAATCAAAGACAACGTAAGAATTAAAAATATATGTTGTGTCCTTCAATATAATAATTGTTTGAATAATTTTAATAGCACGCATTATCACTAAATCTAAATAAAGCTTGTATTTATAAAAATAAATATAAATAATATTTCTAAATATGTTTTATGTAGTTGTTTAATAAATATTGCATTATTGTTATATTGAATTTATTATAATAACACAAAAACAATATTGTATGTTATCTCATGTAAACATTAATATAAGAATACAAAATACAATAATTATATTGATTAGTTTTAGTACGATAAAATTCTTTGAACGTTATAAAATTAAAAATATAACCCAATAAAGCTGTTATTTGTTTTTTTTTTTTTTTTTTTTAAATAAATATATTCTTTATTGTTTTTCTTATTTTATTTCTAAGTTTAATTTACATTGATATTACAAACGCCATCTGTTTCAGATACTATTAGTAAAAAAAAATTTTTTTTCGATTGTAGTATGGTTATAGCGTAGTAAATATATTACACTTTCAGACAGGGAACATTGATGAATTTAAATTTTTTCTATTACGAGCATTTAGAAGCTTCCAATATAAACTTCAATTTTGGCCACAAATACTATTTTTTAATCCGGATATATTCATGTTTATAAATTTTTATGTTGAAAATATGTTGTAAGAAAAGATAATATAGTAAGTGATATTTTAATTTTAAAAGTGAAATATATTTAAATTTTTATTGACTGTATATTAGAATGTATTAACGAAATGAGAATTTATGGTATAATTTAAATATTTATTTTAAATTGCAATATATAAAATTATTCTACTCTTACTAGTTTGTCGTACCTCGTGACAATTCGTAAGAAATACACATAAATAGAGACTTTTTTCGTGCTCCAACTGTAAAGGGCAGATGTACAAATTAATATAAATAAAGACAATTAATAATATTTTACATGGAATTGTGTTACGTTTAATCGTATATTGTAATACTTTAAGCAATTACTTTTACTAAATGGAAATTAATTCACGATATTTCAAGATATTTGTAATAAACATTTTAAAACCTAGGCAATCAAATCATTGTATTAAAATTTTATGTTACCAACCAAGTGTCAAACAAACAATATAATAAATCCAAAATAATATATTAATTTGATATAATAAATACCCAATATTTAACCCAATTTATGTAATTATTTTGGAAGAATCAATGATTTATTACAATAGTAATAGAATAAAGTTATAGAAAACGCATATTCAAATATTATTATCATTATTATTATTTAAAGTAAATTTAAGACTGCTAATAAAAAAAATATTATTTATATGAATTTTAACGTTACCTCCTACTATTTTTATTTCTTAAATGTCCTCTTTAATTCACTCGAATAGTGTAGAAGATAAAAAGTCTTCTGACTTTAGCTCGCACTAATTTCTTTAATTAAGAGTACTTTAATGATAAATCATTAATTCTACGTATATAGATAATAAATCATAAAAACCAGGAACCAGAGATTGAATTCCAGTTAATATGGATATTGATTTTTATACTATATACTTCAAATTTCACGATAAAAGTTCACGATGAACTTAATTCAAGTTTATTATATGTGTAACTAATGCTAGTTGATTTACATTATTAAGTAGCAATTTTTATTTATGTATTTTATAGAATCTATATTTTTTTTCTTCTTTTAATATAACAAACTAATTTTCATTTCAGATGAAATTTTAGTTATTAATAATGTTTAGATTCGACATTCTAATTAGACTTAATCAGTGATGAGGAAAGAACCACGATTTCTAAAAATGGCTTTAAACGTTTGGAAAGTATTTTTTGCAAAATGTACAATAGAAAACAACACCTATCTCCTTATAATGAATCTCTAGGTCATATTATTTAAGACATGATCTAAGTAGACTAAGGTTTTTTTTATTGAAGTTTTTATTGAAGTGAACAATTTTATATTTTAATTTATTATATGCTATAATTATAAGTACAATTGTTTAAATTAAAAAGATCAATAGAGAATTTAATTTTAACTGTCCTTTGACGATAAAATTATAATCGATTATGAAGTTAAAAGTAAATTATGTTAAGTGGCACTGTACTCGAGAAAACTTGAAAATTTTGCGTGGTAGGTAAAATATTTTTATTATTAAAAATAGATTTAACTGACATTTCACGCACGATATTTCAGTTTAGTTAGAAATGTAAAAAAGTGAATTTATGTAAATATATAAAAACTAGCCGCGATCAAGTAACAAGAGTATGTGTTTGAACCACTCAATATTCATGAATGACAGAAATTATATATATATATATATATATATATATATAGTTTTTTCTTTTTCAATTTAGTTTTATAATATAATGCATATATTCAATAAAGTATAAACGTTTCTCTGAATTGTATAAGTTAATTATGAGTTTACTCAGATGATCTAGTATGAAAAATTAATAGAGCAATAATAATTCAATATAGAGAAATATAATCTAAATATAGTAAGAATATTAAGAATTTTGAACGACAAAGAAAATGTACAAAATTAGTGAATATAAAGGTTATATGATAAAATATATGTTATAAAAAATCTTTATTAAGTTTTGGAAAATTTGGAAAAGGGATTCAAGAGATTACGTTTGTTAAAATATGCAGCCTTACATTTTATCAAATTAGTAATAATGATTCAATCGTAAGTAAACTTAAGTCAAAACATAAGTTTCTAAAAATAATATTATTGACAATTTTGTATTTTTCAACATCTACATTTAATAAAAATTTTTAAAAATTTTTTTAAAAATGAGCAATAAAATGTTAAATCGAAATTACAATTAAATATAAAAAAAAAAAAACGTAATATAGGAGAATATAGGAGGATTTTAATTTATAAAATTAAAACTTATAGATATTTTATACTTTAACTTGTATTACAAGAATAATTTTAATAGCGTAAATTAAGTAGAGTAATTACGTTACTGAAATGAGTTACAAAGGAGTAGCGTATATTAGATCTTGATAATGCAACGAAAGTTAAAAGATAATTCTGTTAATCAACACAAAGATGAAAATATAATTCAGTGCATGCGAATTAATGTCTCAATAAGGTTGCTCGTATATAAAATAGAAAAAAAAGATCTTGCATTTAGACAATATAACATAAAATAATTATATAATTAATTTAAAACACGTTACGAGTAATTCGCATTTATGCAATATTTAAATAACTAATACAAGCACGTAGTTACAAATTAATCCTCATTATATTTATTTTTATGCATTATGAAATTTTGAAAAAGTACATTGTATATACAGCTGCGGATTATAAAAATCACCGATTAACTTCGGTTATTAATTATTATTCTATTGAAAGATCTTCGTTCATACGTCTATTTATTTTATGTTATATACCCAACTATCGAAATTTTCGAGCTCACAGAGTGAAACAGCAATAAACAAGTAATGTTAATACAGATAATCTGTCCCAAGGAACCATTCTCTTCAATTGCTTACAATTGAAGAAATAAATATAATAAAATACCTGTTCTATGTACGATGTAAAAAAAAAAAATTTTAAAAATCGATATTTATCGTATCAGCGCAGGGGCATAATAACGCATTTCCTTCGTGAAAATAATTCATATAATTACTACCACCTAAAGTACTTCCATTGCCTTATGCACATATGCAACCACTAATGGTGCGCTCGTTTAAAATAACATCGAGATTATGTAACAATTATATGTGTTCGTAGATGTCTACGCACGTTATTATGTGTAATACATACCCCCGCACATCCAAGTCTTAAAGGAGAGCTCCAGGTTTTCGCCGCCCCAGATGTCGAAGCCACTGTCGTAGGTGCCGAGACGCTCGAAAAATAGTCGGTCGATGGCGAAAAGACCACCGGCCATCGTCGGCGACCAGACCGGCTCAGCCGAATTTTTGTGCCGCTTCCTCTCGCGATCAGGTACCCCGTGCCAGTTGAACTAAGAATTGCGAATGCCTCGATTATTTTGCCAATTTTTAAGCGAAGCATAGTATTTAATGGCTCGCTTCTTTCATTCGGCGCTTTAAATTGTGTTAGCTGGTGGCAGATACGTGTAAATTATCATTGCGTGCAATTATGCAAAATAAAATATAGCTTTACGGGTAAACGTCGCTTTTATTCGGTATTAGGACTAAAATTTGTGTCACGAGCATAATGCGGGGAATCAAGGGTGTGCATAATGAATAGAAAAATGTAATTTTGATGCTTAAAGAAGTATAATTAACATGACCAAATAGTAAAACACGTCGCGGATCGTTGTAAGATTAATAATCAAGAGAGGCTCGATTTACGTGACGCAAGAGCATTAAAACTGTATTTATCAAATGAATTTATATTTCAAAATAACATTAGTACTTTAGATAATGAATATCGATTGATAAAAAAATAATATAATTATATATATATATATATATATATATATATATATATATATATATATATATATAGATAATAAAATAATATTCTCTTCTCGAGTCGCGGAGGTTAGACTCAAATTGAGGAACCGCAGTAATCTTTGGCAAATAATTTAACAGGATGTTGCTTTGACGTAGCGGAGACCATTACTGTGTCGGGGCTTAGAGCAGTCGGCAGACCAATGTTTTGTTGAATTATTGATCGTTATGGGGTGGAGCGGGGCGAGAAGGTGCGCGGAAAGAGAGCCAGGAACAAGATAACTCGTTGGAAGCTGAAATTGAGCGTAACGAGACAGCTGACATCGAGTCGAAAATACGAAAATATTTGCGCGTCAGGGCAATATTGGGAAAATTGTGCAAAATTGGCGTTAATGGGCTAACTTGTAGATTCCAGTCGAAACCACCGACATTGACACCGCCCGAGTCTCGCCAATGGTACTCGAGTGTCGTGTCGTCGATTACGTCTATGACCGGGCAGACGACCGTCGTCTGGTTACGGGCGATGCGGTCGAGGAGAGGTTCCAGCCATCCATCCGTACACTCGCAGTGACTGTCCAGGTAAGTGAGAACCGGCGCCTTGGCCACCGCGGCCCCGAGCAATCGGGCCCTAATCAGACCTTCGCGCTTCGAGGCCCGCAGAATTTTCACCTTCGGATAATTCATCATGTAGTCCTCCAGCTGACGTTTCAGGTGAGCTAAAAATTTTACCAGTATTTTCATTTTATAACTCGACGTTCTTCCGCGTGGCAATTTTATTAGCTTAAAACAACGTTTAAAAATTGTTTATAATGCAATTACGGTGCTCTTATAAATTATATAAATCGTAAAGTGATTTTCCTCCTTTCTATTTGTACGTTGAATCGTGGACAACGATTTCCGGGAAATTGCTTTTATTAATTATTTTTATCAACGATTTTAACCTGAATGTTCCGGATACTCGGCGCAATATATGACGCGAGCAATTATTTTATCTATTCTCATATGACTCGGAATACAATTTCAAATCGTTTATTTTACAATCATCGTCTATTCCATTAATATGTCAGTATTGGCGAATAAATAGTCTAAATAATAAAGTATAAAGTCTTATATATAGACTTTCTTTATTTTCACGATGCTTAATGAAACAAATCTTGTTAGCGCTAGCTCAGCTCGTTTTTACATTCTATACCTTTGGCTATTCAACAATACATTGACTATTTGGAGAAGATAATAATGAAGGTTTAAGGAATTTTTTCACTCCATTTAAAACTCGTATCACTCGTTATTTCTGACTGCCATAGAACAGCCAACGAACTGCCAAAGAGAGGCTCTGTTAACATAGACGACGCTGTGGATTTGGCTTTTAACAAGAATCTTCGATTTGAGGGGCGCAGCCATATTTTCGAAGCTCAATGTATAAGGTTGGAAACGGTAAGGGGACGAAAAGCAATGGGAAGTTAAAGAGAGGAAAAAGAAGGCGAGGCCATGAAAGAATGGAGTCGCTTAGAGGGGGAGGGGAAAGTCGATTTACGAGTGACGATTAGATCGATATCGTTGCGCGGCCGCGGCCTTAGACCACGCCGAGGCAAGTCCTGATTTATTCGAATAACGAATGGATTTAGAAGGAACGGGGGGGGGGAGGAGGAGGAGGAGGGGGGGGGTACTCGCGATTCGCGGCGGAGCCTAGACCGACCAACTGCGAGATTAAGCTCGCGCACAGAGCTGTGCAGTATAAGGGGATCAGCCTGTTTCGCTCGTCGATACGAAAGCGGTTTAGAAGCACAATGCACAATGCACAATGCACCCGATCTCGTCGTTTCTCGCTGCCGGCGCGCACAAAATCACCGGCTGGGCTTGCTACACTGAATTTACATGACAAGTCCCGCGCTCCTCTCGCTCACTCGGCTCCGACAAACCAATCATCTTAATCCCCCCGCACCTACGACGGATCGGGTAATTGCCGCCTCGTGGCCTTTCCCTATTGCGAGCCCGGGCCACCACCACCGTGCTTATTTTATCCAGCAGCGCGGCTACATTTCATCACCCCTGGATTTCATCCCGAGTGCCTTCGCATTTTAAATGCACACTTTATTTTTCCACTCCCAACGCAGATTTTACTCGATATTTCACCACGACAATTGCCAAGTCTCCGAGAAGAGAGTATACATTCCAATTCTATCTCATGGCACTTAGTCAATACATTTCATTCGTGCTCCTATTATTAGCTACGCAGAAAAAAAAAAAAAAACAATAACAAAAGGAATACAAAAGAATCAATGAAAATTCATTACAATTTTTGTTTTCTCAAAATGCCGAAAATTTATTTATTTTTTTTTCTATGTTTCGTATCGTTACAATCATCATTAGTTCATATTTCACGTCATAACAAACCGTTACGTATAGTTTCTCCGTTATTAAACTTACATGTTGATTACAATGGACTTGTAGAAAGGAAAGGAAATTTCATTGCTTTACGAAATGACGGAAATTTAATGATGCTTTATGAGCTGCCCAAGTACTTTTAAGCTCGTATAAGGCTAAATTTTCATAACCATACAAAAGGAAAACTGAAAACAAAAATACAATGAATAAGAAATCAATGGCGCGTCTTATTTTATTTTATCGGTGATACATAAAACAAACAAGAAGTAAGAATATTTCATTAAATCGCTCCATCAAACTACGCAATTTCACATAGGTTTAATAATAAAATTCAGATCGTGCTTTTAATTTATTTTCTATTATTGACATTCACGTTGAGCGATAAATTAATCTCTAAATTATATTCTCACATAAGAAAACAATAACTCGAAAATAAGCAAATACGCGTTGAACCCGATATCATGAAATAACAAGAGCAGAAATATTTCAGAAATCGGCCTTAATTAAAATGGACATTTTATAAGGAAGTATAATTTTTTTTTCATAACTCAAAAGTAATTTAGATACAAGATCGAATTGCCTAACAGAATCACGCGCACGAGAGTTTTGCTTAGATGAATGTGATTTATGAAAGCGTTTACGTTTCTTATTTAATTCAAACGCATGAAATATTTAGCGACAAATGTCTATTAAATGAGACACGAATTTCCGTCATCCCGACATATTTAAAATATTCAAAAATATATAAACAATAATTGGCAAGAGCTGAAAAAATTTACATTGTTAATTTGGCTCGCCGTTAAGAATGTAATTTGCCGGTAAGCTCATAGTGAACTCATTGGCTAAGTACTTTTACCCGATAGCTATCACTATGCTATAATTTTATGAAAATAAATGGCTGATTGCAGTTGAATTTAGACGTTTTATTATTATAGTCGAATATAACAATTGTATTGATTAATTATTTTAATTAATCCGTATTCCAAGTTTCGCTGATATTCACATTTATCAATATTGTATGGGAATATCGTTTTATCCAATACTTGATATTTCATTGTTGAATTTATTATATATACACATATATAATTATTTTTAACCTTTTGAATAACAAACAATTTATTTTAATGAGATTTATAAAAGCAAATAATCTTTATCACCAAGTTAGAATATCGTAGAACTTTGTATTAGTTCTGAAGAAGAAAGACGATTATTTTAATTGAATGACATTAAATTGGTAATTGAAAGACGGAAAATATGATTTTTCAATTATCAAAGATTCGTATATTGTAAAGTATTATTATATTATTCGTATATTCGATAAATCTGTAAAGCAAAAATTAAATTATTAGAGATTTTTTAGCTTCTCATTCTACATTTGTTTATAATTCCTTTACCTAATTAGATCAAATAAAAAAGATTTTATTTTACAAGAAATCTTTTAAAATACAAATGAGAATAAAAATACGTAGATTTATTTCACTTTTTCAATATTGCAAAACGCATCGAGTAATCTCGGATAAAGGCAAATATTTTCTACAATTCACTTTCAAAATTAATTATCTATAATTATATAGACTTTAAAATTCATTTAAATAATAATTCTATAATGATTGCACATGAAAGCTTGGTAAATTTAGTTACCACGATTGAAAAATTCAACGAAATAATATCATCAACTAATATGTGCGAGTGTGAATATGTGCCGCCCTGCATAAAAATGGGTTAATTTACATGCTTGCACAAACTTAATTATATGCCCCGCAACATCGATAAATCGGATTTAAAAAAAATGGCAACTGATTCAACGAACGGAATAGGAGACGAGTTCGTTAACGAGGTAGTTTCAATTATCTATGAATGATAATAATAATAAAAGCAAGAATAACTATAACAACGCGAACAACAACTGCAACTACAACTACAACTACAACTACAACTACAACAACAACAAAAACAACAACAAAAACAACAATAACAATAAAAATAACAATAGTAATAAAGATAATCAATATGATGTATGTGTGCATCGATATTATCAACAATATCAATCTATGTGTTAAATTATATTTATGTATTATTTGCTTTGAAAATTCTAATAAGAGAATTATTTAAGCGTATATCTCGAGTTCCTTCCGAATAGATGAATAAATTATAAAATTATTACCATAATTTGTTTTATTTTTTTATATATTTTGCATTTCCATGAAAAAGTTTTATTATGAAGTGCCAAAATTAATAGAAAATACTAGAGATTATTGGAAATATATATATATATATATATATATCAAACTAAATTAAATTATGTACATTGCAACTGGCGCTCCATACGCGTCAATTATAATTAATTAATTGAATAAAGTGTCCAAAATAAATGTATGACTTACGTAAGGCTCCATGTTGAAGTGCACCGGTTAAATTAAAAATAACTAAGTGATAGACATTGGAACTTCAAAATGTATTAAGTGAAGTCGGAAAAGTGAATAGAGACTTGATTATTTTGTTTTGACGATAAAGAATCGGTAGAGACTACAGTAGATAGCTAATGGAAGGAATCTGCGGTCACTCGGAATGTTCATATCACATCATGAGGATTCATAGAAAACCATATAGGCGAGGGAGAATAAGAGAGAGAGAGGGGGGGCGGGGGTGAGTGAGTCGTCAGTAGTATGAAAATATAAAGAAAGAGTAAAGCATTTCGGATAGTGAGTGAGTGATAATCGAGTGGTTCAGTGGAGTAGATAATGGTGTGGAAGGAGGGGAATGGGAAGGAGAGGCTAGAGCTTATGTCGGAAGAGGCAAGTATGTTTATGAGGCTCGCTTCCGGCCGCTTCAACGAGTGAGCTTATCTCGAGCTTTTAAGGGCCAAAAGGCTCTGCTCTCTAGACTTTGAAACTCTAGATTATATTCCGGATTAAACTTTGCAGCAAATCTTTGTATTTGCCTTTGTCTTCTCCCTCATTTTTTCAATTATTTTCTTTTCAGCGGGTCACGAGCAAACTCCATCGAACCAAGCTAATTAAAAAGAATTAGCCTCCGATATCTTCTCTCGTTTTTTGCTTGGCAGGATATACGTTGGCAGAGAGAAAATAAAAAGCTATATATATATATATATACTCACGCATGTCTGAGAAATCGTCGACGAGGATAATTTCCTGGATGAGGTGGTTGGGCGACCTGTCGAGGACAGAATGGACCGTCCGCAAGAGAACTGACCAGGCCTCGTTGTGAAAGCAAATAATAACGGCCGTTGGCGGAAGCTCCTTTAGATACCTTCCGGGCTCTTTACACCTACAACAAAAAAGTAGCAAAAAACTCATCACCACAAGTTACACACTACTTCGTACTTTCGCCTTTTTAACGCTTTTCACATAAATTTTTTGCACTTTAAATTTATGCACTGACCTGCGTTCGCACAGGGATGCAGAAATATCCTATTAAAGTGACTAGATATTATAAAGGTGTTAAAAATTTATGAGATAGAAGGATGTTAAATATTATTTTCAATTGCACTTGAAAAATGATTTGGTCCCCTATTTGACAAACCTTAGTTCCGTTATGCTCTAATACAAAGGATTTTAATACAAAGGCAACGTTTCTTTATTTATTTATTTAAGAAATGATGACCTCATTTAATACTCTTATACTCCAGTATTATTTTAATATAAATCTATTTCTAAGACATTATGAAATTATTGAATGTGAATCTCAACTACTATTTTCCCATCGACGTAGTTAGAGATGTATTTTCTTTCTTAATTTAATGTTACTTTGTAATGAATTGTGGTTTTTACTAAAAAATATTATGTATATCTTGTATATTACATGAATAGAGATTTGTGGCAGTTATAAATAAGGCTTCTGATTATTTTTGTTTTGTTTTTCCTTTTTTTTTTTTGTAGCCTATATTCGGAAAATTAACTATTTTAGTAAAACATACGCATAATAAAGAATTTTTTGTATTTATTTTTTTTTTTGTCTACTTCTAACAAATAAATGTATTTTAGAAAGAAATTTTTAATTTCAAAAGTAATTAAGGTGTTAGAATCCTTTCATTATTTTAGTTTAGAACTGTTTTCTTGATAATCGTTAAATTAGAAAATACCAAATACTTTTTATAAGAAAATATTGATTATTCTTTTTAATGTAACGATTCATTTTTCTTGTTGTCAAGTTTCGTGAGTTGACAAATCGAGTTTTTGAAGAATACATTTTTCTTTCAATACAACATGGTTAACACATTTTACCGATTTTATTTTTCTTATAAAACAATAATCGAATGTACAGTACCTTTTAAAATGAAGTTTTACTTATTCGGATTGAAATTCCGTATTAAGTATACTTCATTGAAGTAAAATTCCTTTCTATTCAAAATCGATTTTCATTCTAGTTAAAGAGAATTTTACCTATTTCTTCTTTTTATTTCTTTTATTAGTATTATAATGTTTATAATATAATTTATGGAATATTTTGTTATATTTTTTCGGAATACTATATAAATTTTTGTAATCAATATTAATAATTAATTAAAATTAATATTAATGTAATTAATGTGAAATTAATATTAACGTTCATTATCGGTCAATGCTTATTATAAAGTAGACTGAGCTGAAAATTAATTACAATACATTTTAAATGCTGATAACAAAATATATACGAAGTAGAATAATCTGATAACGAAGCTCAAAATTAGAATAATGTTTTAATCTGAAAATTATTTGACTGTATACTTCACGAATTATATTTCAAATTTCCTTCAGTGAAAACTTCCTATGTACAATAAATAATAAGCAAATACTAATTGTCGTAAATTTGTTTACACGTATTTGAAGATTAGAATTAATTTATGTATTTTCATTTCATAATATAATAAATAATACACTATTACAAATATTTTCAATTAATGCAATAACGAAATTATGAAATTAAACGTTTAAACATGAATTAAATCTGTAATTGCAATACTGATATTGATAATATGATGTCTACAGGAGGTGAAGGTAATGTTAATTGCAAAGATTTTGAAATTGACGTATGCACTGAAAGTTTTTTCATGCGAATGTTGATGATGAAACTAAAATCTAAATCTATTCTATAAGAACACGGGTATAAATATCTTTCTAGATAATTTTGTAGCTTAATTGATAGACTGAATTGCTACTTATTGAATCTTAATAATTAAATTTACTTAACATAGTTATTGTTCCATTTCACGTTTCTCGCATACGGTAATATGAAAAAATATTGATTTTTCAATACATTGAAGGTAATGAGAATTCGATACATACGTATGCAGTGGAATTTTCGCCGAGAATAAGAAAATACGAATTGTCGATTGATATTCCGAATGTTTTTAAATTTTGAATGTTGACACTGGGAAGGTTCGATTTTTCAATGATACTTACATAAATATTAACGCTTAAATGGAATAAATTTTTCCTATGAATTTTAGTAAATATATTATTATTATTATTATTATTATTATTATTATTATTATTATTATTATTATTATTATTATTATTATTATTATTATTATTATTACAATACTACATTAAAATGATATGAAATTAAATATTATTTTGAATTATAATTTTTCACTTGACAGTGATACTTGAAACAAATTAGTATACTATTTTTACGATATCATGAAAAATAATAATGACGAATATTAGTGTAGAAGATCTTGTATAATTCTAGGTATTTTCAAACAAAGTTAATATATTTTTTTTTACAATACACTATTTATTTTCTACTTTTTAAATTTATCCTTGAGTAACAAAATTTCACCGAATTGATTGTATAAATATAAATGTTTTTCACGTTATTCACATAATATAATAAAATTCATAACTATGGGAATGGGAATATTTCCTATGCAGTATATTTTTATATGTACGTAACGATCAAATATCGGAATAACATTTCTTCAGACAAATCGGCAATTTCTCTGAAATGAAAAATCATATAACCAATAATCACGATGCCTATTAAATTACTGTAACAGTGCCGATGATGCACTAAAATAATCATATATTCCATCAAATAGGAATAAGAATTGGAATAAGAAGCAATGGTAAGCAAGCGAGGCTGTCGCTTCGGTATTTTGCCGATACAGCAAAACGAACAGATAGATACGAGTCATTTGATATATGCAGCATCCGATTTTCGTGTCTCTGCTCTTTTTGGCAATTCAAAAATTGGTGTCAGGACTCATCTTTTTTGTCAATTTTTCATCGACATTGGCGAAAGCGATCCAAGATCACCGAAGATCAATGAAGTCGAATGTGCCAAGCCACCAATCACTGGATTTCAGCTACTTAAGCCTCAGACTCCTAAAGATTTGCAAATCGAGCAGATCTCAACCGTTACTCATTCCCACCTAAGATTGTATGGCCAATTAATTAGACTCTTGAAATTCCATGAATTAATTTCGTCCAAATATTTCACGTGCATTTAGGGACATTGAAAACAGTTATATTCTGCGTTAAATCGCGTCTATAAAACGGACATAACTATAAAATGAAATTGAATATTCAACGAGTTGCCGCCAATCGACTACATTAATAAAGCTTTTCCGTCTCTTATTAGGCATTTGACTATATAAATTAAAACTTATTAAATTATGAAATTATGAAAAACTATGAAATTGAAAATTCATCATAATTCGTATGCTTGATAATGCACTATAAATCCAGAAATACTACCGTACTCGTAGCAAGCCGTTCGTTACATTGATAGAAAAAGTAAATGATTCTATCGACAAACTGAAAATAATCCAAACTTTAATAATAATAATGAAAACAAAAAAAAAACAAACTAAAACAAACAAAAAAACAATGAAAAAAAAGATAAAGGAAAACAAAGAAAGAAGAGAGAAAAACCAAAGTTAGTCGAGTGATAGTAGTCATACATACATACAAAAATGGTATTTATGAGACAGAATGCACTTTGAGGAGCAAGAAAATATTTGATGTGTCACTGTTGCAGTTGCCGTAGAGATGCGCCGTAACCAACAAGTTGCCTCGTTTGCACATAATTTCAATGCGAAGGCGGTGCGACCCAAAACCAGAAAGCCATCGACGTCTGCCCTCGATCCATCCACTCCGGACTTAGCCTAAATCACGCACAATTAACATGCGCACGCGCTTAATCCCCCATCCACTGTACCGCTCGAACAACCCTTGAATTCTAATCAGCGATAGCTCTCGCTCATTACGTCTTGCTCTCCTTCCCCCACTCGCACCGCCCCTTCCGCAATGCGCATGCATTCGTCGCGAAACGAAAAAAGACACAAAACAATAAAAGAAGAAGAAGAAGAAGAAGAAGAAGAAGATGATGATGAAGAAGAAGAAGAAAAAGAAGATGATGATGAAGATCCAAGGAGCGACCGAAATAGCTTCTATTATGGCTCGGTCAGTGTCAATTTTTCGTTAAAATAGTGCTGTGAAGGCAAGTATATATGTATTTGCATAGCTCGTCAATCGAGTTAATACAAAAGGGATAGAAAAAGAGGAAATAAGGCGTAGTATTACTAATATAATTATCGACATCTCGAAACAATAGTGGCTCGTTAGAAGAGGCAAAACTATCCTCCCGTCGAGGCGAGGCGAGCCGCACGAAGGCCATGACGCGGTGCAAACTCTTGTGCCCTCTCGCCCTTTCTCCCGCTGTATTGCTTCCTAATTGGAGTCTGGCCAGGATTTTACATATCCCAGTGCATCCACGTAGATATTCAACTCCAGTAACTGGAAGAGTCGAGTATCCTTTCCAGTAGCTTTCACGGAGCCGCCACTCGAGGCCGAATTTCTCGAATAAAGAAGCCGTTCAAGAGGAGACGCCTGCACAAGACTCCATTAATCCACATCCTTGGCGTTCCATATTATATTGCTAATGGAAGGTATTTTATATTTATGCGAAATATCGACTCATGGGGCGCGAGATGGCTCGAGTATTCGATTCGATAATGAAAATATTGAAAAGTTCCGCTAATATTGTCATTATATAACCGTTCGTTCATACCTTACATTTACTTTAGATAATTATTTAATCTCGATTTAAAAAAACAATCATTTTAAACCACGTCGTCGTTCACTTTTTTTCCCCCCGGAAATTCTAACGGCCGAACAATCATTAAATTACTAAATCAATGTCATTGCGCGTACACGCGTAGAAATGTTGCATTGCACACAAACACGTACATGGATGAATCGCGCGCACGTACACTCACGCAGGGAATAAATGCAAAATGAATAACGATTTTTTACTTTTTCCATTTTTTTTTATAAATAAAT